TTTCTCGCACAGTTCCTCCAACTGGAGTCCCCGCTGCGGGGAGCATCGCCGGGAGGTCCCCAGAGCCTGCCTTGCTCCAGCTCCTTGCACGGGACTGAAGCACCTCGATCCCGCCGGGGATCGCGCTCTCGGGAGAGCTGAGGTTCGTTACCTGCAGCCGCAGCGCGGCGTCCCCCGAGCGCCGCAGGGCGCTCTGCAGAGACGGCGCCGCAGCCTTATCTCTGCGCCGCAGCCCCGGCACCGGCCGCCACGGCCGCACCGCGACGCCGGCGACATCCAGCCCTTTCCCAGCTATGCGGGCGTTTGCACCCAGGCAAATCAGGTGCCCGTAGGGGAGGGGACCCGGTGCTTGTGCGCAGAGCCAGCACCAGCTCATCCATGAGCCTCCAGCAGCTCCCACCGGAGCTCCTGGGATGCAACGACACTCGTGCCTGTGCTAACGGGGCATGAACTGAGTGGGTGCTTGTGCACCGGTTAATTGGGCGCTCCAGCACGGGCTAATTGCGCGCTCATGCACCCATTAATTGGGCGCTCATGCAGGAGCTCAATGGGGCTCATGCGCAGACGCGCGGCGCGCTAACCCCGCGCTCATGCGTGAATCCACCGCGCGCTCGCACGTAGGTCGGTCAGGCGCTCCTGCATGAACCCTGCAATTCGCGCCCCATGCATCCCCCTGCACAGCACAAAACCCAGGCAGCGTTTGAACATAAATCCACTGTCAACGCTGCGTTCGGCATCGACTCAACGTTGATGTTCACCGAGCACAGCCCGCCCGCGGAGCCGACACAGGGATCGCGCCGCAGCCGCGCGTGCGCCCACCGCCCGCATTTACCTGCTGCCCGGGGAGCCGGGTCACGGAGCGGAGCAGCAGAGCCCCAGCACGAACCTCTGGCCCCGTGGATGGCATTGCAGGGATCAGCATTGCAGCACCCCGAGCCCACGCTCGTTACTGGCTTCACACCTCGCTCCTGCACCCACCGAAGCAGCAGTGCGACCGCATCCGCGCAGCATCAGCTCTGCCCCATCGCAGACCGGACTAGCAGCAACCACCGTGACCCACGTGCGTATAACCCGCTTCAGGCCTCATCCCCAGGAAACACATAGCCAGGAACAACCCAGGAACGCTGCGGCAGCTGAAGCAACTTGTCACACTTTAGCACCCAAGCGAGCAATGAGGACAGCAAGAGCAAGGGTTAAAGACGGTGCTGGAGGCGCCGAGATGTCCCTGAGCAACTGGGTTCCTCACTAGCTTCACAGCAGTGACGGGGGTGGTTTGCCCCAAAACGGGAGGCGAGCAGCACCCTGGGGTGCCACCGAGCTCCTCTGCGTCCCTGCGGCTGCATCCAACGGCGAGGGCGGCTTTAAGAGGGGCTTTGGGCTGCCCGGCCACGGCGGCTGCTCTCATTAAGGTGCAGGTTGGAGCGTGCAGCCGGCGCCCTGTTAAACATCACCGAGCGCGCCGCCCTCCTCGCACCCCGGCACGGATCCGCGGCGCTCTCCTGGCTGCCCGCGGGAGATGGGACAGCAGGATCCCATCCCTGCTCCCGGCCCGGGCACGACCAGCCCGGCTTGGCCACGGCGCTTGGCTTCTCCGTGCCCCGCAGCGCGC